TTACCTTGGAGCAAGACTATCGAATTCATCGAAAAAAAGAACGCATGGTTTAGCGCGAAGAGCTCTATAAATATTTCATTTTATATTACAAAACATCTAATTAATCTTTTCTTTTTTATATTTCATTGTAAGATTGTATAGAATACCTTTCGAAAATTTTTCTTACAGATTCTTCGCTTACACCAATGTATTTGGATAACAATTCAGGGCCCTAATCGAAACGAATGATAAAAAATAAAATGTATATATTTAAATACAATTGTATAATAACAATTTTCGTACCTTAACACTAATTAAATTAACCCCACATTCATTAGCTATAGCTTTGCCTAAAAGAGTCTTTCCTGTACCTGGCATACCATACAACAAGACTCCACTTTGAAGTTTGATCGGAGCATTTTTAAATATTTCTGGATACTTTAATGGCCAATGTAAAATCTCCGTCAAGGATTTCTTAATTTCAACTAATCCTCCGATATCTGACCAAGTGTGATCAGATCCTTTATACAATTGAACACCTTGCAAAGACAATGGTTTATAATTTTTCAGGACATTAGAAATATCGTCTTCTGTGATAACTATCGGTGGTTTGGTATCTTCTTTTGCTAATTAGAAACGGTCGAATTAGAATATCTTTCGTTGATTGTTGTTTTTAACGTAATCCGTATAAACGTTTGATATTTATTACCGCAACGTTTCCAAGCTACAAACGTCGCCTTATCTGCCACATCAACGAGATCTTGTACCATCCATCCCTCTGTCTTGTTACCATAGTAATTCCAATTCACGTTGCCAGGCACATACAACTTGTCCTCGAGCATTAATTGCAAAATATCGATTCTATCCGGCTGAGGTGAGACAAATTAACGAACGTATATACTCTAGATCGATGACACAAATTTGCATATGCGAATGATAACACAATGTTTTCTAAAAGCCTGTGAATTACAAAATTGATTTACCTTTTCGAGGTTTGGCATTGAGAGAATCGTTCGAAAAAAATTTGATCCTTTGGATGGTCTCATTTTTTTCCCAATGTTATTCACGCTAACGCACGTAGCTATGACCGAAACGTAATGCGATTCTTGACATTGCATTACAGTATTGATGATCATGTCAGTAACCCTACCACATTTTCGTGATAATATAGTACATACATGTTTGTTTAAATACAATTGAGTAATTATAACAGTGGCCTAAATCAACAAAATTGCCAAAATTAATTGTAGAGTTTATATTATAATGTAAATAATAGTAATACAAAATACAAGAGAAAATAAATTTATTGATTTATACTACTGTCATAATTACCACACAGCACAATTAAGTTTGAATATATCAAGCATAATAGAATTTAGCATTTAAAATATACCTAAATGCATTCACGGAGTCAGGAGTATTATTCTCTTCGTTGTTTGATGATATCATAGTAATGCTTTCGATATTTTCCAAAAATAGTACAGATGGCTGATGATAAATACATTGAGATATCGCGGCACATATGATCTTCTGTAACATTTCTACTTTTCTTCCTAAATGCGAACAAAGAATTTATATTCACCCCATATTTAAATAACTTTGTTATCGTCATTGAAAAAAATGATAAATGTTTGTAATACTTGTAATAGTTTAATACCTTTGAACGATATACAATCGATTAAATGAGTATATACAAAATACGGTGATTTTTGCAATCTTTTCATTAATATTTTACATAAAGTTGACTTTCCTGAACCAACCTCACCGCATATTAAAATATTTTCTCTATTATATTCGAGATTCGTTGGTGCATTTAATCGTAAACTGAGGTCAAGCGTAATTTGACATTCCGAAAGAATATTTTCTAAATGTCTGTAATATATGATACACCAACATTATATTTTTTATAAATCATAGATAAATATTATATACTAAATATATACCTCATAGAAATTTTTTCGTAAGAGTCATCCTCTATTTCATATTCCAGTGTTAACAAATCATCCAAAGCTAATTTTGATTTAAGATGAATTGTAATATTTTTAAGCAAATCTTTGTCGAGAAAAGCATGTGTACACTTCTCTGGTAAAAATTTAACGATGCATCGATTACCATCATTAAGTTTAATGGGTGCACAAGAATTTAATAAGACCTTTTGGTGAATAGAATATTTTTCAACAAAATCTTTGATATTTTGCAAGAACGTTGTTTGAATCGTCGGATAAATTTCAATGGTCAAAGGAATTGAATTTTTCTTAACTTCGATCGGTGATAAGACAACTTTTGCACCCATCTTTAAACGCAATCCAATTCTTACGCTCTCAGAAATATAAATATTACTGTGAACATAATCTAGCTTAAAATGAATTTTATCTATATCATCTGGAAATTTATCCAAAAGGTCCTCCAATATGAAAACTTTCACCGTTAATTCCGAAGATAAACTGGGAATTGATGATTCTATGTTTTTCAAAAAATGTGTACTTTCTGTATTAACGTTTACTTGTTCTTCCGGTACTTTCTTTATTTTATAAATTATACCATCATTCGTATATTGTACTTCTTTCGGTAGGTGAAGTCGTGATACAAAAACGTTGTAAGGAGATCTCAAAATAACGTTGACTGGATTGATACTATCAAACAAGCTTAATTCGGGAAAGAAATGTACTCGATAAACAACCAATTGATTTTGTTCTTGTCGATAATTTTGTAACAACGCGTAATTTTTATCGAGCTCATTTTTCTTATTATTCCCAGTCTCCGAAAAAGTTGGTATTAATTTTTTTAATCTATTACATAAATTAAATCTATAGTCGTTTGATTCTATTTGTTTTTTTACGTTAGTTCGAATTTCATTAGTCACGTGAACTTCCGTAAATTGTTCCAATTTTCCACAAGGAAAATTCGGTTCAAGAATCTCTGTAATCGATTTCAAATATAAAATATACAAAAAATATCCCAATAAGATTCAATTAATTTTAATGAATGTATAAATCACTTGCCTGTAGTTACAACTATAGTTGAAAATTTCGAGACCCAAATTACTATAGGCTGATTTTGCGCAACTATTTGAATTTTATTTAACAAAGTCGATTGAATTTTATCGACTTGAAGTTCCTATAATACAATTATAGAAAAGTGTTAATATTCTACGATCATATTGGTAAATAACGTTAATTATACGTTAACTACGTAAATAATAACGTTAATTAATCGTCGATTAAACTTTACCAATATCTCACGATCTTCATCCGTTCGTGGAACAACTGTTATACTCATCAAAGATGACACATCTTTTACAAAAGATATAAAAACTTCATCACCTTCCTCTATATTCAAACATTTCGCAAATGGCGCAGAAAGACATAGCGCTCTATCGGTAATTTGTCTCGAACTACATGATAAAAAGTATGTCGCATCCTTGTGCGATACTGCGATTACGTTATTCTGCGATAAATAATATATAGCAACACAATTAGATTAAATAATAATAATTTTCAAAAATCATAAAAAGTATCTTAATGTAAATAATTAATTTAAAAGAAGAATAAAATTATCGACATATGGTACGGTCGATAAAATAACAAAATGTCGAAACAAATGATCCTGCTATCTAGCGACAAAGATAAAAAATATATAATAATAGTATCTCAATCGGTTATATTGTTCCAAATTTATTTTACTTCACACAGGTAGCGTAAAATGATTAGCGCAATAAGAAAACAAATAAAGAAAGAAAACACTAACCTTTGTTCCTTGTCTACGTAGCCAGGTATCCGAGACATACGCGAAACAATTATCAATTTTAATATAACTCACTAAAAATCGTTCTCCCATATTGTCGATGCTCAACACGTGTTACGAAGCAACATTTGTAAACGCATAACAAAATGCGTGACAATACAACAATAGTGTCAAGAAAACAACAGCAGCAATTACATGCTATTTTGCTCTCTGTCGCACTTTGACGTTCTATGCACAGAAATAAAATTAAATTGCACGTATGTATATAAATATAAATATCTAACAAATTGTAATAAATTACAATCGTCGATATTAGTAATTTTCAGGTTAAGAAACTTAACTAATAAACTTTACGTTACAAATAAGTTATTTCTGTACCCGGTCGGTAACTTTAATGACGTAAGATAAACTTAATGAAAGATCAAAGGTGAATAAGCAGAGTAATTAAACGTAACGAAGAGTTTTATATAAAAACAATGCGTTAGCGAGTCTCGTTATTCATTTGCTTATATCATTAACATACTGCGTTCTGAATGCATCGAATTATTTTAAATGATGTATATATTTCCAATAGGATGTCAAATTTATGATCGATATCAACTATTTTTTTTTTATTAGTTTTTTGTACTTCCTTATAATAAGGTCACTAACCTTGAAATGCTGCATCAAAATATCAGATGAAAGAAAAAATTCTACACTAAAAAATACTATATTCGATTACGAACTATAAATATAATATTGTAAACAAATTATAAATAACAACTTTGAATTATTACTCTTTCCAATTTTTGATAAATAAATAGTTTACTTGGTGGTCAGATTCAAAAATGTCTTCAAACGGTTTAATTTCACTCTCAATGAAAAAAAAATGTGAAGATAACGTTATTTGAATATTACTTCGCGTGATTTACAAAACTATAATATAATTAATTACATTGTGTATTACACGTATAATTACATTATATATAATTTACTAATAATCTTTTTTCATTTTTATCAAAAAAAAGTTATAATAATTATCAAAGATTCGTTTAAATAAATATATTGAAAATTAGATATTAACGCGTTTAACAAAATTTTATTTAAAAAGTAATAAATTAAAATGACCCTAGATAATTTTTCCCAGCTCCCCAAGAAATAGTAATTAAAGTTTGTTCAACTTGAAAAAAATTTATACTTCCGTCATAGATAGCAGATCGATCGCTAAACTCGCATTTTTATTGGCCCTCTTAAATTAAGATTGTCCAATCGTAAGATATACGTGTATCAACTGTGATATTTTGAATTGTTTTGAAGCAGCGTCAACTACGGTTGCTCTATAGAACGATTGAACAGCTTAGTAACGTTCTGTTGCATAGAAATCATATAAATGTGAAAGTTCATACATTTTCAAATATATATATTATATACATAAATAATTATTTTCTCAGGTAACTTTTATCTATGTATCTTTGATTTTAATATTATAACCTAAAAGTAACGATATCCATTTAACATTCTAATCGTCGAATGTTTTCTCTGCCCACAATGGTGACTCTTGTATTAAACTAAAAGTTTCACAAATTTCTTAACTCTAAATTCTATTTCATTTATAAAATATTCGAATAAAAAAAATGTAGTGTTTATGAATTATAAATTTAATACAATATTAATATCCTATCATCTATCACAAATATAATCATTTATGTATTCCCGCGTTTTTTGATTTCATTTATTCTTGTAACTGCAGTTTTTTTGGAGTAAATTTTTAGGAAGAAAAAGAATGTGGAATCATAATCGACGATATTTGTTTGGTAATTTATTAGACTCAGGATATTGCAGGCTTATTGCAAATGTAGAAGTTACTTGAAAAAATATGCGTGTATTGTATGATTATATGTTTATATTAATCTAAATTTTCGTTTCTTTTTTTGTAGAAGTTTATAAACAAATTTCTTAGTTAAATAATAGTAACAAAAATGGTTCCACGCAAATCGGCACTTAGGGAAACCAAATCAAATGGTTCTATTATATCATTAAGAAAAGGAATTTCAACAAGAAGCCAAAATGTAATAGTTAACAATTTATCTATAAAGCAACCAATAATAAAAAAAGATAACCGAGGTAAAAGAAAAGCAGATGCATCACCGTTGAAAGATAAAACTGTTAAAAGATCTGCATTAGGAAATATTACCAACGTAAGTATTGTTTCGTTTATATTTAACACAAGTATTCTTTTTAAGTGCTCATTTTTATTATTCCTTTATGTATTCAGGCTATTGGAAAACAATTAGGAACACAACAACCGGAACCAAAAAAAGTAGTTAAAAAAATTGCTACTAAAACCAAACCACATATTCCAAGAAATGCAAATAAGGTTGTAGCAGAGAAAATATTTCCAAAACAAGATGTAGTAACAATAACTAAATTAAAGCCAGTACAGCGTGTGCAAGCAATCAAACATGAAGAAGAAGAAAATAAAATAGTTAACAATAAAATAGAACCTATTAGGCCTAGCTTAGATTCCCAAAAATCCGAGAATAGCTCGTTGTATATGAGTGCATTGGAAGAAGAATCAGAAAATAGTATTAAAATATCTAAGAGAGTAAATAACGAGGTAAGTTTTTATCAATGTTAATTATATAACTTTCATACGCGCATATAATCAATTAATTTAATATTATGCTCTATACATATAGCATTTATGGCTACATAACTGTATATAAATATATAAATTTAAAATAAATGTACATTTAGGCTGAAATAAATGAAAAAAATCAGAAGAATGAGAAAAATGAAATCAACGAAAAACCAAAAATTGACGATACTACGAAAGATAAAGTAGAAATAACATATATTACTACAAAAAATGTTGATCCTATACCTGAAAGGATACTACCGCAAGGCGTACAGTGGGATTTTGATATAGAAAATTGGTTAGATCCATTTCAAGTATCACAGTATGCTATGGATATTTTTAATTATTTAAAGGATCGAGAAAGTTTATTCCCTATTGGTGATTATATGGAAAAACAAGTATGCCTTTCACGTTGGATGCGATCACTTTTAGTAGATTGGATGGTTGAAGTGCAAGAATCATTTGAACTCAACCATGAAACTTTATATTTGGCTGTGAAATTAGTTGACCTCTATTTAACAAAAGTCACAATTGGTACGGAGACTTTACAACTTTTAGGCGCTTCCAGTCTTTTTATAGCCAGTAAATACGACGTAAGTTAAATTCATGTCGTAAATAAATCCAAATTCACTAATATTTCTCCTTACATCGTTTTGAAATATAATTACGATATTTTACTCGATATTTGATTATAATTTTTTTATACATATATGTTTGTGTAATTAGGAAAGGATACCCCCGATGGTTGAAGATTTCTTGTATATATGTGACGGCGCTTATTCGCAAGGAGAACTTATCAAAATGGAAATAAGTGTTTTAAAAGTAGTAGATTTTGATTTAGGTATACCTCTTTCTTACAGATTTCTTAGGCGATACGCTAGGGTGTGTATTTTATTTATTTTGTTATTAATCTCATAATAATAAAATGAAATATTAATTCAATTTTATATCTATATATATATATATATAGTGTGGAAAAGTATCAATGCCAACATTAACTCTGGCTCGATATATCTTGGAATATTCATTGATGGATTATTCGGCCATTAGGTTTAGTGATAGTAAACTGGCAGCGTCTGCTCTTCTACTTGCATTTCAAATGAAAGATTTAGGTGGATGGACTCCAACTTTAGAATATTATAGTGGTTATAAAGTTGATGAAATACGAAATATTGTCTATGTTTTAAATGAAGGACTACATAGAAAACATAAAGAAGCATTAGTAACAATTCGCAATAAATACAGTCATAAGTAAGTAAACGCTTTTAATATTATAAATATTGTAATTATTATATAAAATATGCTAGAACTATATCTGTAAATAAATATCTCCTAAGAAATATGAAAAATTTATTAATTAAACTAAAATTTATTTACTTTTTTAGGATATTCTTTGAAGTAGCAAAACTGCCATTAAAAGATACTCTAGATATTTAAATACTTTTAATAAGCATTTAAATGTAGATAGATATTTCTATAATTATTCCAAAACATAAATCTGATTAACTGTTATTAGTTGATCTATGCGTAAGCTAAAATGTTATCATTATAATCTCACAAGCATCAATGTTCAGATCATAATAAATGATTGAACACAGTTTACATAAGGAATAGGAAAAAAGATAATATTTCGGTGTAATTTTAATTACTATTGTGAAATGTAAAAATAGCTTATATTGAATGACACAGAAGCTCAATTAATGCTTCGCATAAAAATTATCTTCTAAAAGTCAATACAAATAATCTCGTTATGCATCTACCTTTTCTTTTTTTTATTATTATTATTATTATTATTATTATTTATAGACTTCAATATCCTCTTTATCGCTCTATACCACAATTTGTTTTATAATTTTTTGTTAACAAAAAATATTTATTTTAACGCCACACTTTTGTACTTTCAGGCAATGTTTAGCGCAAGGTATTTTAAAATATCAAAAGATTCAGATATGCATTTATTTATTATTTTTTTTTTCTTTTCTACTGATATTTTTCTTTTTGTTTTCTTTTTTACAACATTGTATACTCTGTATTGTAACAATTCATTGAATTGTTATAAACTTACGAATAGATTTTATAGAAATTTATTATTTTGCATCTTCTTTAAAGTATATCCGTGTGGCGCATTGTTATGCATTTATACATCTTAGACGTAAACTGATAAAGAATGTGAATGACGAATATTTATCAAATTTTTCAGTGTTCATACAGAATGTGCCCGTATGATTCTATAGTATTTTAATATATAATGACTGAATTTGATAAATATTATAAATAAGAAAAAGAAACTCGTAGCATGCTTTTACTTTTAGAAGTTTTATAAAAGAAAAAAAGAAAAAAAAAAAGTACGTTCGTTGTAATGCTCAACAAAATGTTTGATCAAATATTTTTACAACGATATATATATAAAAAGTAACACAATGAAATAAATTATTATATTCTTCTACTCCTATTTTATTTATATTGAAATATATAATATACCGTCACTTTAAATATAAAATTTTGTTTCCAATACATCAATGTTTGTATTCAAATGAATTGGTTATCTATATAATATTATGTGGCTAAGTTTTGCAACCAAGTAATGAAATATTCCAAAGCATAACAAAACATAATTAATTATAATATAAATTGAAAATTGTATTTACACTTATATTCAAACTTCTTATTTTTATATTTATACATATATATATGCATATATATGTATATATGTATATATATAAATAAAAAAAATAAATAAGTAAACAAATTACTACCACCTGTGATATAAAACATTTCTTAAAAATATCGCAAATTTTCGAGTATTAATTGCACATACTGCAAAATTTCTTATTTTATACCAATATAACTTGCATATTAACAAAATTCAATTTATATTGTGTAGTAGCAATTAATGATTTTTTAAATGTATCACAAATTCACGCATACAATTGTACATACTGGTCATTTGTAACTAATGTACACATATCCTTCATAAATTGGAAACAAATTTTTAAAAATAAAAGCTGAATTGAGAGATTTGGTAATGTGCAGCCGTGATAAGATTTACTGAAAATTTAGGTGGTGTAAATATATATATTTTATAACTATCGAACATGTAAGTGTTTATGATTGTATAAGTTTGTATGTCGACCATTATAAATAATAAAACCATATAATTTTGTTATTTTATTGAGTTTATTATAAAGTTAAACAAACATTATGTTAAATGAAATTGAAAATATAATAATGAATCGTACATAATGTTCGTTTAAATCCTTTTTCAATTTAAATTTTGTAATGTTATGCTTTCAATTGATTATTGCTACATTTTTAATATATACATGATAAATTTTAAATTATATCAGTAACTTACAAACAATTGTATAAAATAAAGGAGTAGTTTTTTTCTTTATAAATGATTTTTATCCTAACATTTTTTTAATAAATATTTGATAACATACTCTTGAGATAAAAATAGGTTCATCTATGTTATTGTTGTTGTTACTATCATTATTACTATTAATATTATTTCTTCTGACATGCACAATTAGTATTAGTATTACTTAGCATACAAATAGTATTAGTATTTTTAAACTATAAGCATATCTTATGATACTAAATAACTAAATACAAGTTTTATCATATTTATCTCTGTATATATTATCTACAAAATATAGATTTTTAATTAACTTGTATATAATATTTTACTGGAAATTCTTTTCTTCTATATATATATATATGTTAACTTTATATTTTAAATTATTTATTACTCTTAAACATTTTCTTCATTAACTCTTATAACATTTCTTTTTTCTTGTATTGTGGTAACAATCGCTAGCAAAAAGATACATCTTTCCTTTTATATATATACAAAATGTATTTATTTAAATAAAAATTATATAATTGAGAAAATTAGTATTGTATATCACAATTTTGTCAGTCTTACCATACCACCTAATGGTATGCATTTAAAATGTTTTCTTAACGTAGAACGTGTGTTTTATTCACCAGTATATAATTAAGCGCAAATTATTAGTAAAATAATAACTGAAAAATAAAACAATTCTATCGAAATAAAGATACATTCTAAACGCTGACCATATAATATATGTCATAGTATTAGATATAGGTATGGATAGTTTTTATAATATTGTTATTAATTATATCCAAGTACATCGCATCGTTAACATTTCTTCGCATTATATTAATACTAAATGAATGGCTAATAATTAAAAGGAACCATAAAATGTTTATATGCTGATACTGAGATTTAAAAATACTAAATGTTATCGATCATGACTATAGAGAGATAAAACATAGATGAAGAATATATATAAATAAATTATAAATAATAACAAATTTTAATTTACATATAATCTAAAAACTTTCCAAAATCTCTATTATCGTTTACATTCTAATTTAATTGATGTTTCTATAACAGAAGAAATTCTTACCTTTTGTCAAAGTGCTTCCTGTCTCGATACTCTTCTAGCTTGCAAACGGTCGCAACGTTCACATTTTAATTTATTAAACGTTGCTTTACATTCATTGTGGAAACAAGCTCCACAAATTTCACATCGGGTAATTTTGGACAGTTCCCATGGAAATATCACGTCTTTGGAGTAACATACTTCACATACAAATCCTCTTGCTTGACATAACTGAAACAAATTATACAAAATTATATTTAAATAATAATAATAAAATACAACATAAAATAACGTAACAGTGAATACATGTAAGCACATATATGTATGAATAATGTTGAAAAAAAAATATTTCATACCTCACAAGCGGTAACATGAGCATTGCACACTTCGATCAATTCTTGTAATTGCATGGGTAATATTCCAAGCTTAACGTACATCAGATCTTGTATAGAGTATATATGTGGATCATTTATAATATAATTTGGCTCTTTTTTCAAAATATCTTGAACGCTGTTTAAAAATTAAAGTACATATTAAAAATGATTTATCATCAAATAATTAAAAATATCATTTCAAGTCACGAATAATAAGAAAACATACGTTGCTGCAAATCGGCAAGTATACAAAAAATCTTTGAGAAAAAATAACTTCGTGCGTAGTATTCTTGTTCTTTCTAACTGTTTTATACGTCTGTACAATGAAGCATTTAAATCCTGAATTTGAAACAATGGATCAAGCAACATTTGGTCTAATAATCTGTATGAAAAGTTAGACACAGGATACCTTAAAATAACATAAATGAATTTAACATACTTTAAACACAATACAGAATATATTAAAATAAATATTTTGAAATACCTATTAAAATCCCATTTAGATAATATTTTTCCTGGTATTAGAGCTACTTGATTTGTATGACAGCCAGTACAAAAATATCTACCCAAGTACTCGCAATATCGAAACTTGTTAGCATATTTAACTGCAACTTTCATACCACAACCTGCACATCTATAATTTTGTTTAGCTATTAATTTTCGTCTCCTGTGAAAATACATTGATGAGATTATTATAACAGATCGAATAATCTAATAATCTAATATTAAAAATATAATTTTAAATACGCTTACATAGGTGGAGGATGTGGAGTAAATATAATCTGTGGTCTGGGTGGAGCCCATTCGACAGTTCCACGTAATTGAATTGAATCCTCTTTTTCAACTTCATCCGGACTAACAGGCCAACTTTTTGGTAGAGGTAATAATCGTTGTGGAGCATCTTTTTCAGAAACAAGCCATTGCAATTCGCTTGCTCGCGGTAACTGCTTCTCACTAAATCTACTAATAAGCGACAATGCTACACCTTCTGCAGATATAATACTTTCATTTTGCGACAATTCTAAACCTTGTTTAAATTGATGTAAATCAGCATCAGAATATAGTGAAGCCATAGATGCAGATATTCCAGAATTGTTCAATTTAGTCATATTCGCATTATCTACTTCTATATCTTCTACATCATCCGTTGAAATACTATCAGATGTAGTATTAGAAGAGGTTGATAAAGGACTCACACTTTGATCGGTAGTTGTTGTATCAGTCTTTCCATCACTGAATAAATCACGATTCCATATTCTTCCTCTACATCGTTCTTCTTGACGCTGGCGTCGTCTAATTCGTATTCTTTGTTTAAGATTATTAATTTCTTCATCGCTATCTTCAACGGTTTCATCCACAAGACACCATTGCCTGTTACATTTGATTTGTTCGATAGCAGCTATCATAGCTTCGGAAATACTAAAATGTGCATTTTCCCTATCTAATTCAGCATTAGCTTTAGAAAATTGTGCTGAAGATAAAAAACTTGTCAAGCTTTGTCCTTCTATAGGCCTCGGAAAAAATCCTGTAGCCATTGGTTGAACACTACTTCCACCATCCTCCATAAAACTTTTCTTTGGCGTTCTAATATCCTTTTGTCCTTCTATTTCAACTGACCACGAATTAGAAAACTCTGGTGCAGATCTTGGTAAAAAAGCACTTATCTTTTTAAATTTCCGATCTATTTTGATACCATTTGTTCCATGTTTCTTTAAATTTATTCCATCTGTGGTTTCTGATGAAATACAATGTTCTTCAACGACTCCTCTTATCGAATCTTCATAATTTAAAGTACTGGAGCTTCCACTAGAAGTATTTAACATTCTTTTATTCTCTTGCGCCATTTTTATTTTATTTCTCATTTTTCTTGTAGGAGTCTTTGGTTTAGTTGCTACCTTTTCGCTCGACGAATTCGTTGATTGTTTAACATCCGAGTAATTAATGTGAATTATTTTTGACAACTCAACAGAAGGTGTTTGAATCTTAACAGTTTTATGCACACATGGATTTTCGGTAGAGTTTAAAACAGTTATTGAAGTTTTCGAAGAATTGTTATGAGAGTCCTCTAATGTCGGAAGACTACTCCAAGTTTTCAAAGAAATATCATAAACTTTATCCTTCTTATTCATATTGTTTTTATTAATATTATCTTGATTATGTTGAGACGCTATGTTTTTAACACTTATATTTGTGTACGATAACTGACCACTTGTTTGAATATGTAGTTTTCTTTCTCTGAGTATACCCAAAGTCGTAGAACAAAAGTTAGCAGGATAAGATGAAGAACGTTTATGTCTTTTCGGGCTTAAATTAGACGAGATCCAGTTTGGTTGAAACTGTAAAGATTGAAATTTAACACAACTTATTAAAAATAATTATATATGCACAACTAATTCTACATTTAAGTTAGGTAAAAACTTACTAAACATGGATCGATCTCTGTTAAAAGTATTGGTTGGTTCCTTTCTACTGCTCTTAAACATATCAGAGTAGCCTCGGCCAACTTTTCTTGACAAAGAAAAGCCCATGGTTCGAGACAAGAAAGTAAATGTTCCTTATCGGATAAAAGCCAAGATAGTTTGTGAGATAAGCTGTGATTTTCTAAACTATAAACAAATAGTGTTGTTTTTATTTCTCGATTATTAGAAACTATATTTATTCGCATCCTTACCTTTTGTACAACCATAACATATCTTTCCGAGAAATGATTTTAGTTGGTAAATTAGAAAAATAATCTTCGCATTCAGATATTATGGGTGATGACACTAATGACGGTTGAAGCCAATTTAATCCTTGAATAAAAATCCAACAATCTGGCTCACCCTATAAATTTCAATTTTTATCATTACTATATTTATTTAAAAATAAACATTTAAGTTATCATTTAACAATATACTAATGAAAATATTATACTTTATTTTTTGAACACAAATTTATATGTTACATCTTTTACTTACATTAGAATTAAATATACGAAAGCCATGTTTGAAGATTTGTTCCATTGCATTGTGTAATCTATTTAAACCACCATAAACATTCCATACATTTGCTATACCATCAATGAGTAACCCTTCCACAGTAAATCTGAGGTTTTGTAGAAGTTGCCATTGTTCTTTAACGTGTATATTTTCACACATTTTTCTGATTATACAAAAATATATTACTATGAATAAATTAATTTGTTTATGTATGCATCAAAACAATAACAAAATAGGACAATATTATAGTTCGAGTGAGAATATATCTTAAAGCATTATACATAAATGTTGAATGATATTGCTTGCAACAATACACGTTATCCAATATCTTCATGACGTTTAAATTCTATTCAATTATTTTGTATTCAAGTATTTTCATATTTTAAAGTATTTAAATCAATTTTGCTTTGTAATAATATCAACGGAGATGCAAATATTAATTCATTGTTGTTTACAACATCCATCATCCAAGATCACATGCCAATTACTGCTAATTTAAATAAGGTTAGAATAATGTTGTCCTACAAGACCTTCAAGTATCTATCTTATCGCGTGACTATGATGCATCTGCGCAGTCTTTGCCTGTAATTAGGTTAAAATCTTCTAACTACGAGATAGAAAACTATCTACAATTTTCATTTTATATCTACAATGTTAGATGGCGCAGCAAATTATCTGTGTAACTAAATGTGTATGGTAATAAATTTACTAACACATTTTAAACATTTAGAAAAATGATTTGTTTAAAACTAAATATAATAAAACATGTAAATTACATTATAAGCTATAATTAAAGTATTCATCTAATTAGGGAGAATGAATAATATTATTTTCTTTTAAAATCTCTATATTTGCTTAATTCATCAAATTGAGAGAAAAAAATTAGAGACAGTCTTAATTTATGTGCTATAAAGTACACCGATTAAATACATTCTGTTCTTAGTATATACATTAAAGTAAACATTCGAACTTAATGAAGATGTAGTTACTAATAAGATAGCCAATGTACATTTCAAGATTCATAATTTTTATATATTTTTTAATGACATCTTATTAGTATGTGTCAAACAAATACCACTTTTATAGATACAATTCGATTGAAGTACATTTTTCATGTATGACAATGATAAAGAAATGAAATCGATGAAAACAATTAACAAAATTTCCATCGATTTCCACATTCGTTGCATAGTACAAAAGTAGTCATAGGTTCATCGGCTGACCGTGTTTGTACTTGATTATAGGTACAATTACGTTTTTTGCATTTACCACATTTGAGTAAATCGGTTTTAGTGCCTTGTACAGTAGCAAGTTGAGCATCATTAATTGCTTCCTTTTTGAATTGTTCCCGTAATTGTTTTATCTCATCGCTTGCCATTTCTTCGGCAGTCATAACAGCTAACCGTGCTGGTGTAATAGCACCGACAATGAAATTCGTTTTTAAATTAGGATTTTTAACGTCACGTAAATTTGCAACTCTACTGCGAACCTATAAAATAATATACACCATAGCGTATAAGATATAAGCAATTGATAGATGGTTTATTTTATTTTCATTTTTTTATTATTTACCCTATTTTTGTATCTATTATCGGTATTCTTAAATTCTGCATATATTGCTTCTTCTAATTCTTCTGCTAATTCTTCTGGACTAGCACAACCATCAACAGTTTTACCATCCACTCTCAATGCGGCAGCTAACAATTCTCTACATTTTAATCTTACGGCATCTGTTGTAGTAGGAGCTGGAAATGAAGCTTGTTTTCTTTGAAGATCTTTATTAGGCTTTTCTTCTTTTATTTTTACATCGTTTCCATCCACCATATCTTTATCTTTCTTTTGATCTGCCTCGTCTTTATTTTTTTCGGACTTTTCTTCTCTTTTTTTTGAACTACTCGAAGTAGTAGAATCTTTATCTTTATTAGACCCTAAAATAGAATTAATAATACTTATAAAATAAAACATGCAAAATGTAATCATTTTTTTATCAATATATTTTTTCTACAATTAAATGTAATTTGCTTACCAGATAAAAACTTTTTCCAATTCTTAATAAGAGTCTTCGACAATGAAATTACTTCATCGTCTCTACTTGATTTTCTTAAAGCATTTACTGTCATACCGATTCTTGTTTTTGTTAAAAGTTCCAAGTCAACAGGAAGTTTCTGTAAAATTTTAAGTAACTCCAGAGCTTGTTCTTGACCCTGAAAGAAAGAAGGAAGAAAAACACTCAAAAGTAAATAAAATATTTGTAATTATAGAAATTTTTAATACTTATCGTTTAATATTTTTCCAGAGTATCACATATAATTTATATACTATTAAATAACAAATTTCAGAGACATTCGAAATGATCTTTCAAATATTTGAAAAAAATTCAACTATATTGAATAATGTACTTTGGATATTACACTTTGAACATGCACTATAACTTCATTATGCTATATGAATCAAAACACAATTGTTTACTTGTAGATAAACATATGCCAAACTTATTTCTTATATTTAAATAATATATTTAATTAACAAATATCTTAAAAGATTAAAACTTTTATTCTTAAAATGTTATCCCTCTTTGATTTAATTCATCGACATGTTCAAGCGATATGCAACTAGGTTAATTTTACTCACTTACTCACCGTCCCGTCACCACTTGACATTTTGTTTAACTTTTTTTGAATTCGTAAAACCTCTTCTTCAGCGCTCATTGTTAAAACGGACTAGTTTTTACTTAAAAATTAATATAAATACACAAAATAATGACCGTACAACAAAACTGTAACGGTCGTAGTTACACTTCAATCATGTATCATGTAAACATTCAAGGGAATCTTCCGAAGTGTTGGAAATAGACGCGCCATCAACAGCGACCTGACACAACTGACCAATCATAGAATGGTCATATGGTAAGTGGCTACGCCAAACAAAAAGCATGTCCACAGAGACTGTTCAATCACGTGATAGTGAAGCATCTAATGAGAGCGCATCATACAAGAAACAAAAAAGCAATAAAGTTATCTCTCTTATTTATAATTAGTCAATGATTAAAAGTAATGTCTGAATAATGTTTTATATTTTTATTTATAAATAAATAAGTTTTATATATGTTTTTATAAATAATTTTTATTGAACTTATAACGAGATGAAGTAGAAATAGAAATTATTTGAAATGATTCTAAGATATATACTTGATGTATAAGATTTATATAATAAATGTAGAAAAAATGATTACATAATGCATACATTATTGCAGATGATTTTATTACGGTTTTTTGAATTGCGACGACTACGAATGTATATAACAGTTACAAATTTATAAATTTTATATTATTGAAAACAAGTAATATATTTATATATTTGTTGTATCTCTGTATAAAATATTAATAAATCTAGAACAAATATACATACAACAGTTCATTTATATAAAAAAAAAAAGAATTGATTTATAGAATTACATAAAATTTTATATTACAGAAATTGTAATTATATTGGAATGGGTGAACGAGCTAAGAGTTGTTATTTAAGAAGTAATAGTGAAACTCTATCAACTGTTTATTTACCTGATTCTTCTCCAATCTTTATAGGACGTTCTGAAGGAACTAATATTATTGATATAAAGTGTTCAAGAAAACAAGGTTTAACATATATTATTAACATATTTTAATTTTTAAATATTTCCTCTCTACCTAATTTATTGTATATATATAATGTATAAATCAATTCGTATATTTTGATTTATAAAATTCTTATTCTAAATTTTTAATTAAATTTTAATCTAAACATATTATTTTCTATTAATTTTGTAGTTAGATTATGTGCAGATTATGTGCAACATATAGTAACGGTTCAACAAGTTGGTACAAAAGCTTGTGGTATAAATGGCTTCAAAACTCAAAAAGATAATAGATTCATTGTCAAACATAATGATAGATTAGAAATTTTATATGGGAAGCACATATATCAAATAGAATTTAATCCACCACCTAAAGAACAGAATGATCAAACATTGGTACAAAAACGATCTTATGATTCGGAAGATGAATCATTAAGTATAGATACAACGAACTCGTGCAAAATGCGCAAAATAGAAGATGAAAGTAATGCTATCGTACAAGAAATGATTAGCAATGAAAACAATTATTCGATAAATGGAGAAGATAAAGAAATCAATGCTATTGCTTCAACATCCAAGGAAAATGATGTAGATAATAGTACAATGAAAACTACAGGATTGTGGGACAGTAATAAAGAATTACTGATATATACTCCACCAAATGTGCAAAACCGTCCAAAGGTAATATTTGTGATTTAAAAAATATTATTGATTCTAATTAAAAAAAACACAAATAATTAGATACGTACAAAATGTTTGTTTTTACAGATAGCTGCATATGACATGGATGGCACATTGATAAAAACAAAGTCTGGTCTTGTATTTCCAAAAGATGTTCATGATTGGCAATTGATATACCCTACAGTACCTAAAAAATTAAAACAATTCTATGAAGATGGTTATAAAATTGTCATTTTTACTAATCAAGGAGCTCTTGGTACAGGAAAAGTGAAAATAGAAGATTTTAAAGTCAAAATTGAGAAAGTAGTACAAAAATTAGGTGTTCCTATTCAAGTAAATATTTCTATATTTCTAAAACATTTAATGCTATAATTCTTTTTTACTTATGTAACATTTTAAATCATAGGTCTTTATTTCTATGGAAAAAAATATATATAGAAAACCAGCACCAGGAATGTGGAATAAACTCGTCAACGATGTATGTACAATATAAGAATGTTCTATCTTTTTAAAAATATTATTATAATGGTGACATAATTATTTTCTTTTTTAGAAAAATGGAGGTTTCAGCATTGATAAATTAAATTCTTTTTATGTTGGAGATGCGGCAGGTAGACAAAAAAATTGGGCACCTGGTAGAAAGAAGGATCATTCTAAAGTAGATCGTTTAATGGCTATGAATATAGGTTTACAATTTCAAACCCCAGAAGAACACTTTCTTGGGCATAAAGCTGCACCATATATTTTACCTACATTTAATCCAAAAGCATTGCAAAAAGATGATAACCCCACTGATGCTAAAATTACTTCGCAACAACAAGAAGTATGTATTAGATAATATAAAATAAATATTTTCATTTTTTTTATTTTTTATTATATAATTGTATAAAAATAATAACTGTTTTATAAATACAACAGATGATACTCATGGTTGGTAGTCCTGGCTCTGGAAAATCTCATTTTGCTAAACTTTATTTAACCGACTACGATTACATTAACAGAGATACTTTGGGAAGTTGGCAGAAATGTATATCTACTATGGAACAATCTTTGATTAAAGGGAAACGTGTTGTTATAGACAATACTAATCCAAATCCTGTCTCACGTGAAAGATATATTACAGTAGCAAAAAAATATAATATTCCAATTAGATGCTTTCTCTTGACAACAAGTACTGAACATGCCAAACATAATAATAAGGTAAAATAAGATTTTTGTTTTTATATATTTCCTAGTTTTATTTATATATTTCTAATATCATTTTATTTTTATTTATTTCTAGTTTCGTGAATTAGTTGATTCTAATCATGCTAAGATTAGTGACATCATCATAAACTCTTATATGTAAGTAGAATTAGATTTTTCAAGTTACTATATCATATTTGTTTTTTTTATTACACTTTTGAAAGTATTCTTGTTATATATTTGTCTGTTTTATCAGGAAAAATTATATACCACCAACATTAGAAGAAGGTTTCACAGAAATTGTAAAAATCAATTTTATTCCACGATTTTTGTCTGAAAAAGATAAAGAATTATATGAAATGTATTTGCTCGAAAATTAATTGTATTAATTGTAATGAAAATAACTTAAAAATATCATCACAATTATTATAATACTTAGCATAATTGACGAACATATTAGATAATAATATATTTAAAATTTTTCATTTTTTTATGTATTATTTTATATGCTACCTATATTGTATTTAAATGTATTTAAATGAATGATTTCAACGCATGTACAGACTAGATATGCAGGAAACAATCTCGTATTAGTGTATAAGTTTATTGGGTTATTTCCCTTTTGTGTGTAATTAAAAAATAATATTGCTGTATAGCAAGCTAACTCACATTTTTTAATAATTCATATTTATGTTTTTTTGGTGATGACTTGCGTCTGGCATACATATAGGTAGGATGCTATTGAACTATTGATCATGATCTTGTTTTTATAACAGTAATAATAATGGACACTGCTGTGTATGTCAGTACATATGCACCTACTTATGTTACATGATTGAAAATACAAAAGTATTATTACAAGATTGATAGTATTTCGTAGATAGTGCGTATCTACTAAATAAATTTAAAAATAAAATATTAATTCATTTGTAATATTTTCCATGATCATCTAAGTACATGTAATATTTTTCATGTGTTTCAATTATCTAACATATTTAAACGAGCTTATGTCATAAATCATTATATTTATTGGTATACACGATTTAAAGAGGATTACAAACCATGATAGCAATAAATCAATTGAAGAAACTACAATTTTTCTTAATTGGAAGCATGAAACACATATTACCTTTTTGTTACAGGTTAATTGTGTTAATTTCATTCTAACATCTTTTTATAATTTTCAATTAATATAAATCGTGCCTCAATCGATAAATATGTGCTCTTAAATTTATATGATAGGAAGATTATGGAATAATACTTTTTTGTCAATCTTGTTTTTTCTTGTTTCTTTTTTTTTCTTAAAAACAGACTTGTAAATAATTAAACGTATAGTACCATGATAAATATTTGATATATTAATTTGCAAGAATTCCTTAAGAATAATAACATGTAGCGCCATAATCCTTATTTAGGTCCTGTTAAAAATGGGTCATAACAATGAGTATCGATGTCACAGTCTGTTTGAGAGCACATCATTAGAGTTTTAAGAATTCAACTACAAAGTTCTCTATTTGCTATATTTGGAAATAGTATTTCACTATAATCTTCATTATTCGGTTCTACAAAATAATTGATAATGAATAATAGATCTCTCTCTTTTTTTTTTGAGTTATACTTTCTTCATAAAAAGATGATTATACATAATTGAAATTGCGAAAGAAAAAGAATTCTAATCTTATTTGATTTTAACAGTGATTTGTTTCAACAATGATTGTAACGACAGTTTTTAATATGCTCCATATTATGTCCTCCTTCTAGATTTCTAAATTCGGCACATTGTTCTAGTTTTTAGTAGCATCTTGAAAACTCTGTAGGCACATTCTTAATTTAACATTGAAAGTGTACGTTCTTTGATACATATAATAATAGCTTATAAATAATCATATTTTGTCGAATAGATATTTTTTACATTACAATACAACTGCGAATATTATAATCTTATGTGTATATTTATTATACGCATTTATTTGCGTACATAGTCGAAATGCAACATTAAGTGTATATATATTGAATTAATAGTTAAGCACAAATTATATAGAGAAAAGTTCTTTATTATTGGGTTAATATTACATCTCGACCATGGAATTATTGTAAATAGTTAAATGTAATGTTTGCCAGATATCATGGCCAGTGAACACTTGGGTAGTTTGGAAATTTGCTGAGCATCAAATAGTTACTCTTGCTTATATTTTGTATTATAATTTATCTATGAATATATATGTCTATAGTCAATATTGCATTAATTAACAAAAAAAGAAAAAGAAAAGAAAAAAGAATAAGTTCAAGGTAACTTGTATCATTCACGTTCCTTTGTAATTAAAAAACACTATTAACAAGTGTAAAATATAGGAACGAATGTAAAACTCTTCATTTCTTATAGATTTTTCAGTTGTGCAGTAATATGGTTGCTATGGCAGCATGCTTATAGAGTAAATTGCTATTTCTGGAACAATTGCATTTTGAAAAAATTGCTAAAGATTATACGCTATCTTTCATATGTTTCTATTAGTCAATATTATTATGTCATGTGAGCAAAATATTCGTATATATTGCAATTTTTTTGTTGTAGGAACTTTAAACTGTAAAAATGCAATTCCATTGCTTCATTTGCATAAATGCATCTAACTTTGACTATTATTTAGGCAAAATATGCTATCGTTGCTCCCATAGAAACGTTATTGCTGCTAAAATTAATTGCATAAATAATCAATGTGCTGCTAAAATTAATTTATAAATAATCAAATAGTATGTTAGCATGAAAAAATAGATTAAAGCAACAGAGCGGTTGATGGCAGCATTTTACCATTTTCGTTGTTTTACATTTATCTTTTGTAAATAAAATCTACAAAATTGATATTATCTTATTAATATTCGTACACATATATATATATACTAACGTGAATCACAAAAGAGTTAAATTGTGTAAATATGAATATAAAACGTATAATTCTTATTACAATTACTAATAAAATATCAACTTAAAATTAACCTGTTAATCGGGGAGATCTCAAATAAAATAAGTTGTAAAAATTGCACATATAACGTTGCTCTAATAGCGCAATGAGAAATAAAAATAAAACTGATTTATTTAATCTTTGATATCATATAAAAGAAGGTAAATATTTTCATCCGTCCCCGGTTAATAGGTTAATAATTTTCCTTTATAACAGATCAGATGTGTTACTTAAATTGATACCAACAACCGCTGCACACACATCGTTTTTTAAAACGTAATATTAGTTGATAAATTCGTAATTGTTATATTTGATTAAAAAAAAATTAGCTAAACATAACTGCTGAATATCCTTTGAAGCAATTAAGATCAGACCCATCCTATGCTATTCTCTTTTTGTATGCTTATAAAATTCCCTCCCTGAGACACGAGGATTGGTCACGGATATTCAGCAGTTAGGCCAGAATGCTAAGCATTATTTCGCTATTTAAGAAGTGACAGTTAGCCTATCTCTATCATTTCTGTGTCTTCCACATTGTTATGCCCTACACCATTATGCCTAAAACATTCAATTATAGACACCATATTTAATTACATTAAATATATATCATTCAAATTAACTTTCATACTTATTAAATTATTACGATTTTGTATCATAATTATCACAAGTAATCAAAATAGATTTACCTATGATTTTGCAAATGCGAATTATGCAAATGGAAATGTGTATTTCTTGGTGAGAAACCACGTATATTGCCTTTGCGAGGACTTCTAGCATTTATAACTCTTGGTTGGGAGTACATATCTTCAAGTATACTTGGTGCTACATATGTGAATCCCTTAAAAGACCAAATAATAATAATAATAATAAAGAAATTGATTAAAAAATTGTAAGTTCTTAATTATCTTATGTGATATTTAGTAAGTTTACTTAAAGTAATATTTTCGAAACAAAATACTTACCTGAAATACTCTATTAGCTGATTCACTCAGAGTATATTCTGCAGGTGAATCTATAGGGGCGGAAGTTGTAAATCTCTTGTCAAATTGGGATACATCATCTTCGCTTGCCAATATTGGCCTGAATGGTGGTTCCAATTTTCGTGATATAACATCGTTCCAATTTATGTGTTTAAAAAATTGATGATTTTTTATTTGTTCAGCATCCGATGGTGCAGTACCTAGCCTTTGTGCGACTTGTCTCTGTATCAATAAATTAAAAAACTTATAAGAACTATTTTTATATTATTAAACTATTCAAAATTAATTTAATAAATTAATGCTAAAAAAATAATCTAAAATAACTAAAAGTAAAGTAACGAAACGTCTATCAACCTTCAGCAGCTTTCTTATTAGATCTCTGGCATCGGGTGTTAAATATTGAGGAAGATTTAATTTGCCTCGTAGAATTTTGTCTATTGTCTTTTTCCTGTTAGTAGATGTAAATGGAGGCTAAAATAAAAAACAATATAATCTGGGAAAAAACAGAAATATATGAATGTATCCACTGAAAAAATTACATACAGATCCTGTGAGCATGTCATACATCAAAGTACCAAGACTCCACCAATCGACTGCTTTACCATGCCCACTTCTCATTAAAATTTCAGGAGCCCTTAGAAAAAAAACATAACATATTTTTCCCTAACTAAACAGATAATATTAATAATATAAATTACACGTTCTTACATATACTCTATAGTTCCACAAAAAGTATGTGTTACAGTATCATCTTGTATATGTTCTTTGCATAAACCAAAATCAGTTAATTTAATATGACCTTCTGCATCTAACAAAATATTTTCTGGTTTCAAATCTCTGCAACGCAAATTAATATGTAATTAATGATATACTTATTAAAATAACATTGGCATATAATGTATAATGAGCGCAATATTATAAATGTATAATACCTGTAAATGATTCCTTGTAAATGAAGATGTTGCAAAGCCAGTATTATTTCAGATAAGTAAAAACTGTAATCAAAGTATACACTTTAAATTAAAAATTGCTTTTATATAAGAATGCAGAAACAAACAATAACATATACTTGTATAATCTCCTACCATGCAGTATCCTCTAAAAATATTCCTTCGTCATTTAAATGTCGAAAAAGTTCACCTCCACACATATACTCTAAGATCAAATATAATTTACCACACGTTTGGAAAGCATACATAAGGTCTACAATGAATGGGTGCTGCAAGAAAATTATGTTAAAGAGAAATAGCATGGATTTGAAAATATACTAATTGATTTTAACTATACCTTAACAGCTTCTAAAATATTTCGTTCAGCTTTTGTATGAGCGGTATCTTTTTGATTTCTTATGATAGATGCCTTATGTAACACCTAATTTATAAATACAATAATAACATTTTTTACAAAGTTTTGAAAATTCGTTATAATATAAACAAAATTTTTGTTAAAAATATGTAGTTCTTTTCTCGATTCAAAATATAATTTTACATCCTTAGCATAAAGAGAGAGCATGGAGTGAGAGTAACTCAAAAACCCTTCTCATAAAATAAGTCAGATGGAATTCCAGAGAAGAGTGCCAGAGTGATCATAGGGTTCTTTCTTTATGTAATACTTTGTAACCCCTTACTATTCTACGACTGTAAGTCTATACGACTGTAATACCATATATGTTGTAAACAAATCAATGTTATTTTCAACTTACCTTCATAGCAAAAATGGTACCGCTGTCGTTTCCTGTTATTTTACGTACTTGAAAGACCTTTCCGTATCCACCTTTTCCAATAACTTTGCATAATTCAAAATCTTGTGGTCCAGCTCTTTCTCTCCCACGATTAACATTTTGTTCGGAAATAGCAACCGTTTCAACGCCATCCGATCTGTTAGAAAACATCATTGTTATTATGTTAATATATAAATTGAAATTACACCACCAGATGCAAAGATTTACTCACTCAATTATTTCATTCACGTTAGGATTAGGATCGTAGTCCTCCTACATAAAAGGAAAACAATTTAGTTGTAATAATAAAAATAATAATATTAAAAAGAAGTATGGAATAATAAAAAGAAAAATATTGAGATTCGAAATATCAATGGGGGAAAGAGGAAAGTTACCTCTCCAATCTCGATAACATCATCGTCCGACTCGTCCCTATTCACTGCATCCACGTCGTGCAATTCAATATCGAATACCGCAGCCATTCTGGATGCGATTGTTTTCTATCAAAAGACGTCCTAAGACTAAAGAAATTACCAATCTTCCTTGATGCAGCGCGTGCACTCTCAGTGAAATATTGTTGCACCTTATATTGCACAAACCTTGAATGTCTACATTACGCTTCTGACAAGAAACTGCCCTGCCGCAGAACATACCAAACACCTTTTCTCCGTAAATTCGTTCATTGGTTGACAATCTTTTTCAGCGGTTATACTCGACTGGGAGAAACATATTTTTGACCAATCAACATTAACATTCAAAGTTTACTCGAGTTCTACCACCAATCCTCTGACATAAAAGCATTTCGCATTGTTGCCGGCTTTTGTACTTATACATTCTCTTTAACGCGGTACATTCAAATAACATAATCTTTTTCTACGAAACAATAGAAGGAACAGGAAAATTTCGAAGTAATTATATGCACCTTTGTTCGATTCGAATTTAAGTTAAAATAAATTTTGATATAATGACGGCAATTCATATAAAGTAAACGCAAAATTGAAATACTATTGTTATAACTACTCCTGCGCAATGTTATTTTTTTTACTAATATATTTAAATTAAAAAGAAAATAAAAGTTTATTATTTTTATTTACATACTTTATGTATTAATATTTAGTTATATTAAAACATATTATATATATATATAATGACTATTATTATATGAAAATAATGTCTTTAAGTTTTGCAGTCTATCACATGCGCGAGTCATTACTTTATCAGACATTAAAAAGTGGATTTAGAACAATAGATTCGTTATCGGTATATTTAAATTGATAAAACGTATTCAATTTACAATAAGATTATGCTGATTTTTCTTTTATCTTTTTACCGATAAAATAACATTATTTGAGTTGAAGATTTTCTGTTCTTACAAATAAAAGGAAGAAGGAAAAATGACTATTCGTCACCACCTTAAAGGATACAATGATTTTGTGAAATTTTTTGAAAATTTAAAAACTGAAGAACTAGTCTTTGTTTTATACACAGGTGCAAAGCTTGAAAATGGTCAAAGCTGGTGTCCCGATTGTGTGGAAGGTAAAACATTTTGGGCTTTGTTCTTTTGTTTCAAAGTACATAACCTATTTTGTAATGAATCATTAGTTCAATAATGTATTGTAAGTTTCCCTTTGATTCATAGATCTAAATAAATTTATTTCTGTTGTTTCATTTCTATTAATAATATTTGAATAATCTTATATTATTCTAATAATTTTTTTTTTAATCCAGCGGAGCCATTTATAGAAGCCGGATTAAAAACACTCCCTGAGAGGTCCCATTTTGTTGAGGTTCAAGTAGGAGACAGAGCATTGTAAATATATAAAATAATTTTTCACTAAGTTTTTTTATGCATAGAATCTATGATAAATATAATATATTATGATTTAAAAATATATGTTCTTTTATTATTTTATTTTTTTAGCTGGAAAGATCCTAATTGCATATTCCGTAAAGATAATAAAACTCAATTGAAGGTGCTACCAACATTGGCTCTATGGGGAACTCAGAAACGTTTACAAGGTAGTGAGTGCCAAAGCGAAGTACTTCTTGATATGTTATTTACAGAAAAAGATGATTAAAATTGTCTATTTTATATATATGGTGCCATTATTTTATAATTCAAAAAAGTATTGAATATTCTCTTAAGTAAATTTTTGATATTTGCAAGTAAATTGTTGATACTATAGTTAAAAATATGTTTTTTTATTTGATAATGGTTTTTCCATTACTTATTTTATAAAAGAAAATCACGGAATGAATTATTATATTTAATTTAATTCTTTACACTATCTTTATTTTCCTAATTTGTTTTGAACCAACTCTAATTCGATTTATTCTACTTTTGATGTTATAAAAAAAGATATTATCACGTCAGTAGTGATCTCGTAAAATATACTTCATATATTTTATTTTATAATTAATATAAAATTACAATTAATATAAAAAGTTCAAAATCAACATTTTCTAATATCAAACTAATGTATATATATTATATACATTACATATTCTAAATTTATCTTAAAAATATATTATATTAATACATTAATAAAATTCCATTACCATTTATATATAATTTTATAGTTTTACTTGATATTATTACTATTCGCATGTTATTCTATGGCATTTGTGGTTTTAAATTCTTCCGAAGGAGGTAACATGCGAATGCAATAGTGAATTTTTTTATTTTTCATTATACTGTAAGTATTATCAAAGATGACGAAATCTACAAAAAAATAAATATGAATATACAGTATGATAGCATATAAAATTGTAATTACAATGACTTACATTTAGCTAATTTTTCACAGGTTAAAACTCCAGTCTCATTTAATATGTGTGCATCTATTCTTGTAATAGGTACGACTTCGGTTTTTATTCCAGATGCATCCTCTTTCAAAATACCGAATTTAATATCATAATCTTCCGTGCGAAAATCCCAACTGTAAAAACAAAATTCTATGTTATTTCATTCTACGTTAAATATATTTTTGTAATAAGTTTATACCTTAAAACAGATCCTTCTTCGGACGAATCCAAACTAAGTTTTATCTTATCTCCTTTGCGAATATTGACGGTAGTGTATTCCAAAGATTCATCACTTTCTACTACTTTATCTAGGTACATTTCTTTTGGTATTTTTCCACCTAGACAAAGCTATACAAAAAATATAGGTAAATAATAATTATACAAAAATTAGTATTCAATTAAATATTCACGAAATTATCGTTACCTTTGTTCTAAGTCTTGGATTACCATCGGGATCTTTTAAAGTGCCTCCATAATATGCAGGTATTTGATCAGGTGAAATTAGTTCCAATATTGCGGGTCCCCATTTCGTGGGGTCTGGTTTGAACATTTTTAATTTCGATATTGTATAATCGTTCAAAAATTTCTTAGCGATGGAAAATGCAAAAGAAAACATTTTCGGGGCTATGGAAATATTATTAAAATCAATTGATAATGTTTTATATGAAGAAACTAATAATTTGGAATGTTAGGTAATTTAGCTAACGTACCGTTAATAAGAAAACACATTTTTAAAATTTCTGGATAATTTGCTTCGTATATTTGAAGGCTGCTAATGATAGTTTCAGTAGCTGAAAAATGATAATAATGTTTTTTAATCATACATCAATATACATATTTAAAAAACATATTTTAATAACTTACAGTAAGATGTAATTTAAAGGGATAACTTAAGTAAGACGTAAGCTTCTATTTCTCATAGATAGTTCACGATTTTACCTGAATGAATTACCTGGCCTCCACAAATATGGCTTTAAATTGAATCCTTCTAGGTCGTAAATAACTGTAATTTTTCCAGCAAGATGGCCATGCTTTTTAACTTGTTCATTGCACATCTTTAAATAATATTCCAAGTATTTGACCATAGTTTTTATTATCTCTTTTTTTGTAGTTACGTGAAGTAATCCGTAAATATCAAATTCGCCGAAAGTTATTACGACAACTAGAACAATGCATTAGAAATATAAATATAATGAGGCTAATAATGTTTTATTTATAAAAAGATTCATAAGGCATTATATACCTGGTGAACCTTCTTTGTCGTATCCACAAATTCCATGTGGCGTATACTTTTTCATCACTTCCGGTTCATTATATTCTTCTATTTTGTCAACTTCCCATTGCTTTCGCCATTGTAATGACTAAACAAAAAAGAGATATTTTTTGTTGGTTTTTTTTATTTTGATTTCTATTTTCTGTAGATAAATATACTCATTTCTTGTAACAAAAAAAACCAAGGAGAAAGTTATTTAATCAACCTAATTACGTTTATAACGAAGAATTTATATCGTACTCACGTTCCTCAGCATTTTCTCAGCCCCCTCAACGTCCCAGTTTCGCGCTACAAATTAATATAAATTTTATTAATTCCGTAAAATTTCTTTTTTCAAAGAATTTATATTAATTTCTTGTGTTTATTTAATACGTTCGAGCATTAATTAAGTCAAATTCTATGAAAGTCACCCAAAATCGATATTCAATTTCGAGGATTATACAAAAACATTTTTATGACTATATTTCGTGACGCATCGATAGAATGCATCGCTGTTGATATCGGTTGTAACGAAGTTATGATTCATGACAGCGAAAAAAGCAGGTAAAATCACTATATGAAACAAAAGAATATAAATTATAATGGCAATGGTAGAATCGAGCTGTCAGCCAATAATAAAGCCTTTTAACGGATTCAATTAAATTTGAAATTCTAAATTAAGCGTAAAGACGATATCACGACTAGAAAGGAAAAATTGATGATGATGAAAGAAAAAAAACAAGCAAGCCTAACTCTTACTGAAATTATGAGCCACTATAGTGTTCAAAGGCGATAGTTTGTAAAATGAATGATTATTACGCAGTACATTCCATTGCGATAATAAATCAGCTTGTGTTAAAAGTTTGGTTTAGTGCTCTGATATCAACAAAGTTATTAAATTGACCCAATTAGAACTTTATTTTAATGAGCAAATATGTGCATTCTATTTTCTCTATATTTTTATTATTATAATTATTCAAAACAATTGTCAATTCGATTTTCTTATCAATGATTTTACAGTTCATCAATTAATAGAATATTCCTTACCTTTTAACCAACGAAGAAGAAAATAATCATCGTGATGGGGTTGCAGAGAACTAGTCATGACTCTTCTAAACTAAAATAGATCATTTAATGAAAATATTGTATTAATCTAATCGATTTGTACATATGTAATATTGATAGTATTTTTATATGAACAAATCTTTAATTCACACTTTTTCTTGTTATTCTGTAAGTTTCTGATTTGTATTTTCTACAAAAAGTCCAATACGCACGTAATAGCCTCTTTAGCATTTATTTTGTCAACAATTATATAAAAATTTGTAAATAAAATAATTTATTCTCATGAATAATCTATTTATAGAGTGAGTAGACAAGTAATCGAATGCTTGGAACGAGATTATTTAAAAATAATGAATATTAATTAGTTTAACTCTAATAAAAATTGAATATTTTCTTGTTTGATTGAATTCTGTGTAGCATTATTAATTTTTTATAATTTTCAAGGCACAAATTGTTTTTATCAGACTACATATGTAGTTTACATAACGCATAATCTGTTCGTTTAATTTATGCTAAGAAAAATATAAACCGAAGGTGAAAAACATTATTTTACAATCGATTTATTGAATTGATCATGACGAAGCGAAATTTTATCGTTCTCCTATGGAAATCGTTTTACGCCGAATAAATAATCTCTTTTATATACGGAAAGAAATCTTTTTGAAGTAAACAAACATATGAAATGCTGATTTGTCTTTTGATTTTAAATTCAACATGTATTTAGTACTGAAATATCTATTAAATATGAATAAAAGCGACAGTTTGTAATTATATAAATGCAGTAGATTCAATTCGACGATAGTATCAAACAGGTTTAAATAATCCATATATATCTTTTCGATGTCAGCGTTTCTACGCTATTTTCTACTTAAATTATACGCTAACGGTTTACGAAAGAAATAGAGAGGGAGAAAGAGAGAGAGAGAGAGAGAGCAAGAGATAGAGAAAGAGTAAAAGAAAAACACGGAAGAACTTTCTTCCATTTCTTTGTCAATTTTTTACGTTAGTATAAAAATAAACATAAGCTTACTTTCATCAATGCGAATCGTTGATTGTCCAGCAAATTTAATGATTCCGACATAGTTATTATTGTTTCTAGCTTCTGCGAAATTAAGATGAATGTATAGAAATCTAGAAAAATAAAATTAATAGACAATACTTTCACATGAAAAGAATCGTTCGTGTTTCTTTTCTCAGTTTAAGAATAAAAAGAATAACAAACATTTTTTTTTTTAATCAAATAAATGATCAAGAAAATGTTCTTGAAAATATCACCATTTTTTGATTTTAATTTATTTTCTTTCTTATTTCTTTTCATTTTTTTCTTGTGTAATTTACATAAAGGACGTGTGAAAAAAAAGAAATGATATGTAACTGGATGTGGTCTACCACCTTAAATCTACTCACCTGTAACCAAATATCGGAGAAGAAAAAGGCAATAAAAACCGTTGTAACACGATTGATGTTTGACGCGAGTCGATGCCCAACTGAAAAGCGAACGTTAAGCATGAAAATTTAATATCCTCCAAGTAAGAAATATTCTATACAACTCCTTCCAACTCATTTGAGATTAGGAATGGTGGGATTCTCTTTTTGCTAACATAATGGTTACTCTACGTTTTTAACCAAGGTTCAATTCATTATATGTATTATCATTTAATGATAAGAAATAAAATAAATATAAACGAATCTATCAATTATGGTCGGACTGAAATAACATTTTAAAAATTAAATAATTCTTAATACCCTCTTCTATATATGACAAACATTGTATGCAAAAAATTTATTATATATGTCATTTTTATAAAACTATATAAATAAGAAGTTTTTCGATTGCTGAATTTGTGTATGATATTAAAACTTACAATTTAAAAATAGCAGATATATATAAGTCATTCAGAAGCTAATGCGGTTAAGATTAGAAAAAAAATTGAGAAAATTAATGTTTTTTAATATTTACACACACATAGTCATTAAGCCACTCAACAAATAAAAATGCTATGCAGTTTTATAAATAATAAAGTAGATGCTATTATATATAAATTATATTAACTAAAAACAAAATTAATGTTTACGGTAAGTCAATATAAGTGTTATATAACGAAGGTAGAATTAATTAATTCGTATATATGCGAAGAAATTTGAATTAATTTTATTTCATATATATTATTAAATAATTTACACGTCATCGAACTACTACTGCCATCTGCACGAGAAACAGTAAACTTCGTTCAATTTTCACTATTCAGAAATTCAGATGAAAACAAATAATAAAATATTAAATAAACATAATAAAATCAATTAATCAAATTCATAATATATTTTATTTTATTGATTAATAAATTCACATAAATTCCGTTCATTTTAAAATGGTCTCGATAAACCAGATTTTTTGTTCTTTTTTTTCCTATCGTTCTCATTAAAATGTTAATATAAAATGTATTTTCAAACTTGTTTTGTCATCCATACCTTTTGCGTTTTTTAATTTTTCATTCGTTCTTTTTTATCGATGTAAAAAACGGATGATACCTAAAAAATTGAACAATTGTAATTCATTATAATAAAGCCATTTTGTAGATATTTTTAAGGAAGAGTTGTTAGTCGATAACTGAAAAAATTATACATAAGGAAAAGATTAAAGTCGTATAAAAGAAGAATTTTAGAAGAGCCTGATTTTTAGTGAATTTATTTAATTATTCATGAAGATGATGCGTAACTTATGTATTTACAAAGTGTGTCTACACCTATCACCTGTGATCTACAATTTTGACAGCTCGGTATAGTTCGGTATTAGTCGGTAATGTTCGGTAACGTTCGGTAATCGCAATCATAGCGGTAGATTGCTTCCTCTGCTTCTTATTTTCACAACACTAACTTTGTAAGCTTGTATATTATAGCTTGAAGAAAATCCTTGCTTGAAAAATGGTGGGGGAAATTCTTTCTTAAACCTTATATTCTTTTCAGAACCGATATTATTCTGCTGATACGTCTTTTATGCAAGTGAAACTTTTGTGACTTTTAAAGTTACTCTTTTATTATTTTCTATACCTTTTATCGTTGCTTTTCATACTATACTGAATAAAAGAGTGAGGAGAATATTAATAAATGGACAGTAAACTTTATACATAAAGTTACCTCATATATGAGTTTAGTTTTAAAGAATGCAACTAAATTACGATTTCGTTAACATACACGTCCAACGAACTGCTGCTACCTTTCCAAGAGAAATACAATCGTGTGAAGTAGTAGTGTAAGTAATTTTCTCAATAATTATTCGTAATTTTTTAAATAATATTTGTATTATGATTTTTAAATTAATATTAAAACAGAATAAGAAACGTTAACTATTTCATGAACATTCTTATAAATTGGACAAGTTATTCGAAATTATTACCCAACTTGCTTGGGATATTTTTATCCTGCCAATTTCGTTTATACAATTGTCAGTTAATGTTTGAATGGACATTAAATACAAAATAGACTTTGTAAAAAGATAAAATTATTCCAATAAAATTATCAGCAAATAACAAGTTAGTTTATATAATAGTAACTAATCAAATTTATGTTGTATTGATTTAAGCAGGATGAGTCATGTGACATTTATGTATCAGATGTATTATATGGAAAATTTATTATAAATCTTGATGAATACTATGAATTATATTTAATAAATATAATTAGGTAGATACTTTAAATAATAAATGCATTATGTTAACATAAAACACTATTTTTTCAACGTATACAATACCATGAAATGTATCAGACGGAGAAGCTATAAAGTCAAACTTTGATAATAGTTGAAAACAAGATCTCTTTCATTTTTATATTTTATATAATATAATATATTAAGTTGAAAATAATTTCATATGTAGTATTAAATGAATGTGACTATTTAAATGTTGACTAGTTAAACGATTGGTTTTTAACAAAATTTGTAAAGATTAGTAAGTCTTTGATATAATCAAAAATTTATATTCGAATAGATATTTTTCAATTCTTTAAATATAAGTATATAATTTTTTCCAGTTATACGTATAATCTTTCATGGTTAAATTTTGTCTGCGAAGAAGCATTGCTGATCTTTGAAACTTATTTATTGTTAGATATATGTTCTTTGACATAGTAATAAAAATCTTCTTTGAATTCTTAACGTTGAATAATTTATTATCATGTGTACAGTTTATTGCTATTTATGTAATATATAAAAACATGTGTATGTAATACATGTATATATACAAGTGCTTATGCTAGCATACACATGTTCAGATTTCCAAGAAACTACGATTTTCCAATGTTTCATTACAACCGGATTTGTATAATCATTGGTAAACTATAAGCATCTTTGCAATTCATAATTGGTCATTGTTGACCGCGAGAAAATGCATCAAACGACAAGATCGCATTGTCCAACGCGAAATGCTTCAACTCGTGTTTTGATTCGCCGGTTAGCACGAGTTCGTTTGCCAATTCGGCCATCCTCGTTGACATTCGGCAACATTCGGTGCACGATGCGCTCGAGCGGTTTCTTATCCTTCAGTATGTCAACATCTGTTGTAGTAAGTGGTTCGGCGTTAGAATTGTTCCACTCTTTCATAACATTATATATTTCTTTTTCTCTCAAGAAGGATATGAAATGTAGTAAAAAAATAAGTCGATCGCGTGTTATTTATGTGCCGTTTATTTTCAATCAATTTTCATATTAATAATACCTAACCCTTCCTTCGAATTTTGCTTTTTTTCTTTGGATTTATTTTTTGTATATTGTGTATACGTGGAAACGTTTGAAAGAAAGAAGCGAATTCGTGGATGCCATGAAGAAACACGACGAATCGTTGTTGCAGCCTTTGGTCATTGGGTTCAAGGTACGCTGACATGTTATAATACTTTTTCAAGATAACCTAGTTAACTTTCTTGGTATTATTATTACTAAACATAGTTTTCTATATACATTTGTATTTCTCGTTCTAGATTTATAAACAATCATTAATCAATATTTATCTTACTTCCTCGATGTTCTTTACAAATATTTTTTTATAGTTAATTTAGAATAATAAAATTGTATTTAATAATCTTGTTGATCTTTCACTTATACGATATAACTAGATAGTAAATATGAATATATACATACAAATATTCGCATAAAACGGTTTGCTGGCAGTTCCGCTATTAAAAATAAAATATACAATTGTTGTTTAACGTGTTTAATTCGTTTATACAAACTTGACGATTTTTCGATTGAAATATTTAATCGATGATCTTTTAAGGGTGTCGTCACGATTGAACAACATTGATAGAGAAGAGCTCTTGGACCATTTTAATCGTGATTTAATTTGGTACGCGAGCCGGTGTTAAGGAAAAGTTAGGTGCCATTTAGCGTGCTCACTCACATACACACACATGTATCCTTTTTTGCATCTCTGTCTCTGTGTCTCTCTCTTTCTCTTTCTTATTTTCACTTTGTATTTTTAGTGTTATTGGCAACGTTCATATTATTAAAGACTAAAGTTTAGTGGTTGTGTCAACGCTTGAAGCTTTAACATAAAAGTGACAAAAGAAGATTAGAGAACGTTTTCTAGCTCTCACGTGTTTCTGACACAAATCTATCGTCTTTCTACGTTGTCCTTGCGAACACGTACACGCATTTACGCTAATATTTATGTCAATGTATTTTTCTGCTTTTTATCGGGTTATATACTACTCTCTGAACTACAGAATGCAATTATTCTGCTCAGGTTTATTAAAAATTATATTTTTTGTCTATTCTTTTTGTTTAACAATGTTAAGAAACGATATGTAAAAAAGATTTAATCAATCAATACTGATTTATCAATATTCTTTAGGCGTAGTATGGAAAAAGAATATCTTATAAATGTTTTTTCAATTCAGATGGATAAACAAATTTTTTTGTATAATTCTTGCTAAATTTTTTTCAATATTCGCTAAAAAATAATTGTAAATAAATTATTAACTTGTCTATACAAAATAGAAATTGAAAAAGTTCTTGCAAATTCCTAAATAAGAAGAATTGATGAAAAATGTATTGTAATCATCTAAAAATTCTGTAGAAACTTGTTATGGAAGGTAAACAAATCTGTTGTTGGTTTATTCAAATTAATAGAATAATTTAAGCTGATCATATCTCTTCATTCATCCGGCATATGTGATTATGTGTATACAGTGAAGACGGATGAAAAAAATTGATATTGTTCAAGATAAATTCATCCTTTGGAATTTTTTGTTACGAAATAGTATATGCAGACGAATGCTTGTATGTACAAACTTTAGATGCCTTGAAAAAATATTCATCGAATCGTTAGTAATCCAATATTAAACGGTTTAGAATGTCATAGCAACGACCAATTAAATGCATGCATAATTTTCTTCAATGTTACAAATCGATCCGATATACTATTTTTGTATTATCCATTCAACACTTTGAGTGATACGAACATATATATTTGCTGACATAAACGATACAACCTGTTAA